TCAATAAAAATTGATTGATAAAGTTAAATTGATTGAGACTCACGTAGTAGTCTTGACTTGGCCCGTATGAATGTAAAAAAAAACTTTTTTTGATGGACTTTTTGTCTTAAAAAATAAAGTTCAGTCTCATAAAAAATAAGAACCACATGTTGATATATGACCAACCTGACTCTCTATTTCTATTTGGTTCACACATTGGGAACTCTAGGAATTTTTCATAGTTCATTTTCCTTGAGTTGACAAGTTCTTCACCACTTGCAGTGAATTGCTTAACCGAATAATTTTTAATTGGCTATTTATACCAAATACAACTAAGTGAAGGACTTCACTTTCTTATTTGTTGCATAATTGATCAATTAAAAAAATAGGTTTAGTAATTTACTGCAACTATACAGTGCAAAAATCATTTTTCATATGATAATGTTGAGGCTGGCTGATTAGCTATGAAGCACGGACACTCCTCCCAGGGGTCCCGTACCAGTGTCGGACACTTTTCGAACACTGACACTCGTGTCCGAGGCTCGGACACGTGTCCGACACTTCTGTAAAGTGTCCAAATATTATTTTTTATTGGACACGCGTGTCCGAGGCTCGGACACACGGTCCGACACTTCTCTGAGACAAAATTTATTTTCTCTCACTCCTCTCTCAATCTCTCATCTTCTTCAATTATCTCTCTACATAAACAAGATATATATATATATATATATATATATATATATATATATATATAAAAGTTACATGAACAAGATTTTGTGAAAGACTGAAAGTATATATGTTTATTCATATACATATTTAGTTCATTATAGCTATGTCTCTTCTGCACATCTTCGTTTGGAATTTGGATCAACTTTATTTTTCATTTATTTTCAGTTTTGTCTTGTCTATATTTTTCTTATAACAGAAATGAAATTATTGAAATTGATTCTGTTCTTTGTTGTTATTTTATTTATCTGTACAAGATTTTAGTAATTATATTTTGAATATATATATATATATATATATATATATATATATATATATATATATATAAAATTTTATAGGCGTATCCATGTCGTGTCCGTGTCCTATTTTTTTAAAATTTGCCGTGTCGCCATATCCGTGTCGTGTCGTACCCGTGTCCCGTATCCGTGTCCGTACTTCCTAGCTGATTAGAATGCCGGAAAGATTAACAGCAGCACTAGCAAACAAAGAGAGCATATATAGTTCTCATGTCCTGTGTTTCTTTCTTTGGACAATATTTGTTTTCAACATTTCTTTTGCAAACTACTTTCTAGGTCTTGATTATCAGAATAGTTGTGTAGTTAATAAGCCAATCGCGGTTACTTTTGTTTTTGTATTTTGCAATTAAATATCAGAATATTAAGCTTGTAAACTTTGTAATTAAATTTTAAAATATATTGAACAGAGATTCATGTCCAAATAATTAAAAAAAGACTTGCTTGTTGCTGTGATATTAAATTTATAATATATCTTGATTTTCATAATATGCAAATAATTTGATTTCACCAGGAGGCTCCTTCCTCATTTATTCTGGGGAGAGATTTTTTAAGTTAGACCTATGTCCATCCTAACACACACACACATACATTTCAAGTGGGACCAACTTATCTAAGAAGATAAAGGTTCAATGAAATTAATAATCTTGGCCAGTCACTATTTAACATGTAAATAAATAAAACTTTCACATTTCGGAATGCATCCTCAGATGATTGGCGAGGGACCATTTATTCGTGGTTCGTTTGGAATTGTTAGGGGATGTCTTTGTTTATTGTACCAAGTTACTATTCGCATTACATGTTGGGCAGGGGCGGAGCCATGAATGGGTTAACCTGGGCTATAGCCCTGGTCCAATTGAAAAAAAAAAATAGTTCTACTAAGCCCATATACTACTTTTCATTTTCCTATCTGTCATTCAGCCCATCCATAATAAAACATTTAGCCCCGTCCAATCCAAACATAATGTTGCAAACCTAAATACATTGTTACTTTGACCTCTCTTTTTCTCAATCTACAGAACCGTGTGAACAATTTGAATGTTCAAACTTATAAATAATTAAAGCCTTCCGGTAAATCACAACTTGGTATCAAGTAACAGACACTTAAACTCTACTCTTTTGAACACAATTTTAAAGTGAAGAAGTAGCTCTGTATGTTTCTAATCCAAACCCTTCTTTGCTTAAAAAAAAATTTCCCAATAAATCCTCTACTTGAAATTTTTCTTTAGCCCTCCTTACTTTCAAATCCTAGCTTGATGTTGGGTGATGAAGAAATACGGCAGCAGAGAGTATTGGACTAAATTTGAGTTTGCCGACACAGATTCAAAGAATTGTCAATGAAAGCCTTTGAATTTCTCCACTAACAATGAAGATTTATTTGCTTTTCGAAGAACCAAGTTTGCTATGTGCAATCTAAAAGAGAAAACACATAGGTTTGTGGATTTGGACAATGTTCCTGGATTTTGTGATAAAATAGTAACTTGTTTGGAGAGCCTTGTTTCACCCGAGTATATATTACACAATATGCTTTAGCTGAAGAATAGATATCATAAAAGAAGGTGAAGAAAATAAACAAATTATGATTTTTGACTATCAATTTGCTTTTTCCTGCTTTATTTTTCCCTATAAATGTACAACCATTTTTGTTATTCAATTTTCATTCCATTGCGTTTAGAAAATATAATTAAAAAATATAAATGTATAACTATTTTTTACTCATTCATTTAAATTGATTATCCAAATAATTTAATTTTAATAAACAAATTTAGACAATTTAATGAATTTGAATATAAATTGTCACCCCTAAAATTTAATACTAGCTTCATCTATTTAATTTGAGGATTTTGATTTCCCGTACTAATGCAAAAGAGCCATGCATGCTGGCACTTTACCAACATTGAATTTGGATCATTTGAAAAGAAAAAGAGAAAAATAAACATTAAGTTAAACAAGGATGACACTCGTGGAATAAAAGTAAATTTATTAAATAAGTTAATTAGGATAGAAATATATTAATGTTACCATATATCAAATATCATATTCTTACCTACCAAAAATTATTGAGTGGTGAATGTCCCCCATTCGAAAAACAAAAAGAATAAACTGTGTAGACTGTAAAATCCTCGCATGGCAAGGGTTTTTTTTTTAAAAAAAATAAAAATAAAAATAAAAAATAAAAAACCAAAACCAACAGTTTTTTGGTTGTAAAATCCTCTTTGAAGGGCAAGTTGAGGTAATGGCTAGGATACGAGGGAGAACAACATAGACGAGTTTTCACTTATCACCCTTCTCGATCTTTGAAGGGTAATGCACGGGCTTGAACAAAGTTAGTTATTTTGATAAATGGACTTGGTTGGGTTTGGGTTAAAAAAATCTCAATGGTGTTAGTAACTCGAGCCCAATCCGAACTTAAATTTTAATATTATTTTAATATATATTTTTTATTTTAAATATATTATATATATAATATATTTTATATATAATATTCAAACTTTAATCCATTTTTTTCTCTTCTACTTTCTTTGTTTACCCTCCTTAATTTAGTATATGTTGATACTTTGGATAATTATTTTTCTAAGAATTTGTTTATGATTAATTAAAAATTTGCAATAAATTTTAAAATTTTTGTGTTTAGGAATAATTTAATGTGAAACTAATTTACGATCATATTAATTTTTTTGACTTTATAATCTGAAATCTCAGCATTAATTGCAAATTCTAGTTTAAAAATAGAAGAATAAGTTGGGTTCGGACTGAGTAGTTAGGATTGAACAACAATAGTCAATATGTTGGGCTGAGTAGTTAGGGTTGAACAACAATAATCCAGGTAAGTATGTATTCTAACCTAAACTAAACTATTATTTAGTAATAAGCAAATTCAACAGTTTTAAGTGAAAATAAAAATAACCAGTTTTAGACCAAACAATTCATGTTAAACAAGGAGGACACTTGTGAACCTATGATATCTAACAAAAAGAAGCTTTTTAATAAAAGGAAATTTATTAAAGGGTAAAGTGCCAAAAAAATCTTGAATTATGTTTGAATTTGCAAATAACTCTCTTGAAGTATATTTTGTGCATAACACTTTTTGAAGTATTACATTTTTTTGTAAAATGCCTAAACTATTTTTCATTAAATGACCATAATTTATTTTCTTTAAATTAATTATTTAAATAGAAATCTTAAGTAGAAAACTTTAAAACAATTTAAGTAATTTCTTAATTTTTCATAAATATATTACACTAAAAAGAATGTATTTTTCTTTAAGTAATTTATTAATTTTTCATGAATATATTGTATGAAAAATAGTGTAATTTTTTTAAGATAAAAAATTTTAAACTGAGTATAATAAGTTTTATAATAAATAATAAAATTTTAATAAGTTAATCATTTTGGAAATTTGTAATTATAAAATTTTTTATATGTAATATTCCTGAATTTTATGATGAAGTAGTAACTTGTTTAGAGAGCCTCGTTTCACCCAAGTCTATATTACAATATGCTTTAGCCGGAGAATAGATCATACAGATGGTGAAAGTAAACAAAATTTGATTTTTGACTATCAATTTGCTTTTTCCTACTTTATTTTTCCCTGTAATTTTTACCGTTTTAGAAAATATAATTAAAAATTTATGTGTTTATAAATGCCTGAATTTTTTTTTATTTTTTTTTTCCTTCTTAGTGCCAGCTTTAGATATTTTGATGATTTTGATTGCGGATACTAAATGCAAAAGAGCTATGCTTAGTCCTTGTTAGTACTAATTTGAATGGAATACACTTGCACGTGCCAACATTGAATTTGGATCAATTAATTCACTTTTTTTATTAGTCTTTGTTTACATTTCTTTTGCAAATTACTTTCTAGGTCTTGATTATCAGAATGGTTGTGTTGTTAATAAGCCAATCGTGGTTACTTTTGTTTTTGTATTTTGCAATTAAATATCAGAATATTAAGCTTGTAACTAAATTTTAAAATATTTTGAACAGAGATTCATGTCCGAATAATTCAAAAAAACTTGATTGTTGTGATATTAAATTTATAATGTATCCTTTTTTTTCATAATATGCAAATAATAGAACTTACACATTTCCGAATGCATCCTCAGATTTGCCCGGGACCACTCCGGGTTAAGTATTTAAGTTTCTGTGCACACCTTTAGGCACACGCAGTTGGTATTAACAAAGTGATAATTTATGCCAACTATATATTTTAACCTCCATCAAGAGAGATCTTTTCATACATAATGAAAACTGAGAAGACAAATAATACTCATAATAATTACATGAGACCAAAACCCTAGTAGGGTGGAGGTAATCTCATATCAAGGATGTTCTTGTTCCTCCAAGAGCCTTGATCTTTACCCTTTGTGCCAAATACTCCCAGAAATCCTATATGATCAACTTCCTATGTTAGGCTGGCTTCTTGAAGACGTCGGTTCATAAAACCTTTCAAGCTCTTGGATTCAGGAAGCTTTGCGAACCCTCCGCTGAACTTTCACAATGAGGAAAGATGTGTCAATATTGATCACGAGCTGCTGGCTTTATCAGAGATCACCGTTAAGATGTTGAACTCACGCTCCAAATTCCATGAAGATTCGTTCTTATGGTTGATACTAAAGCTGTATTCCTGGAAGTAGCCACCGTAGGAGATTATGGATATAGTGGCTCTGAAATTTTTCAATACACAAAAAGGTTAATCCCAACACTTGATTCCTACATATTTACGTTAAAAAATAAATAAATGCAAAACGTCAAGAAAGCAAAAGCCACATAAAACAAAAGCTAAAAGTAGCTCTCTCTTTTTTCATTGGCAAGAAAAACACTTAAACACGCTTTTTACCTACACCCGGGCTCGAATCACTCCCCTCCTCTTTGAGGATGGGGGAGGTTATACCATTGGGTTAGATTCCCTTTGGTAAGGGGAAAAAAAAAAACAAAAGAAGTAGCTCTCTTTCAAAGAAGCAAGCAAGATCTAACAAATATTACATCTTATACCATGGGCATACCCTTGGCAAAGATAAAAGGATCATACTCTGACCCTCTCCTGAAGGAAAATAGGGTCGACTACTTTTGCAGCTATATGAATGGAAATGTCTTTCTCATGTGTGCGTTGAATCACCTGGCCGTTCACCTTGACCGACTGTATAGTGAATTCATAGTATGAAACAGCAATAACAATCTGCTATCCTTTTATGCGAGATTTAATACCAACTTCACATGCAATCCAAAATTAACTATGCCCAGAAAACTGTCGATTATAGAAAATAAAATTGATGGACACGATCTTTCATGGAACACAGCAGATTGTTGAATTGACATTGATGCCAAGATCAAGAAAGTAAGTTCATCACTACGTACTATCAGTCATATTTAACTCATTAAAAATCTCATCGTCTTGGCATAACAACTGCTGAACCACGTCATCTGACAGTGGCAAGACTTTATCAAATAGGATTCACAGTAAGAAAATATCAATGCATATCCATCTGCCATTTTGCCACATTATTTGCATTTAAATGTTTGTCCAGAACTAAGAAAAGAAATGGAAACAGAATATTTTCATTTCTATCAACTGAAGCTGGTATCACCATAGTCAAGATTCCATTTCTGAAATGTGTCAGACACCAATGATGCAGAGATCTTGAACTGATTATGCTTTAAAAACCAAACAACAATTTGAGGTAAATTAAATAATAGCAAGTGCAGCCTCCATTAATAAACACAGTCACAGTTTATACATCTATACCACATCATATAAACAAGTAAATATCATCAAATGTTTCTTTCTCCCTACCTTACAGAAAAAATATTCCCTATTGGCATCACTTCATATTATACTAGGATTATTGATCACCACCGATTATCAAATCTGTCCTTTCTGGTACCATTATTCATTAATAAAGCATCTTGCCTTTCAATATTCGGCGTCAACCAAGTCAGATATTGTTTTCCCCAACCACCTTATCTACTGTGTTGCAGTGTATAATAGGCAAGCTCCACAAAACAATTAAGGGCATCTAGATCTCAACTGGTTGGGTAGCCTTTGGGCTCCACGGTATGGACAAATAGCAAAGGGGTATGTTGGATGATTCAAGAATTGCATGTTCTAAAACAGGGACCCCGTGTTTTGTCATTGGAATTGTGGCATTATGATTCTTGGCTTGACAATTATCAAAATTGTGAACACAATGCATTTCATATAACTTATCCGAAACTTCGAAAATTATTTTAAGAAACCCAACTAAGTGGACAGAAAGCGAACTATTAGAAGGAAATGGCAAAAAAGTATAAAAAGAAAAGAAACACAAATATGGACGATTTTCAATTAACTCACCTACATGCCACAGAGTCAGATATAGATGTCTCAGCAACTTTGTCCACCTTGCGAATCATTGCACAACTGTACCAGAAAAAATGAAATCATTATAAATTATTTTCTTTTTCTTTCCAAATATGGAATCAAGCTAGCTAATACCCAAACCTTAAGTATGGTCTACTAGATGCACATGGCCTCCTTAACAGACTTGGAATTTTATGGGTCATCGCTAGGAGATCTTATATTCCAGATAAAACCTGACATATGAAGACAATAATTTTCAAATCTATTATGAAATTCTCAAAGCCCGCACGGCACACACCCCCCCCCCCCCCCCCCCCCCTCTCCCCCCTCCTCCTTCCTTTGGTCTCTTCAAGCTTAGCTGAAGAAACGTAAAATGAATAATGCTATTCACCTAGAAGTCAGAAGGGCCAAAATAGACAATTTGCGTCTTCTAATTAAGGTACCAAAAAGTATTTCGTGCACCCAACTTTAATTTTGTGAAATAAGGATTCAAGCCACAGCTATTGAGGTCAAAGGAATCATCAATGGAACCTATCTTGGGCAGCAATGTAGGTTAGAGAAGAGTAACCAAAGAATGAAAAGTATGAGGGGGAATTGAGGAATTCAGAATCCTGACATGTTCCCATTTTACCATCCAAGGGAACATTGAAGACATAAACTAATTACTAGGTTGATTATGTCAAATCTCGGTTGAGAAATTGTCTAAAGTAGGTCCCTTAGTGCCAATGCAAGTTTGCCATACCAGACATTATGACATTTATAAGCCATCCTTAAAGGTCAACCATTTGGTACTTATGTAAAAATACAAAATGCTTCACCTTTTAACTCCTGCTGTAAAAGCATTGTGAAGTACATGATGAGCTGGATCAAATGGATCATTAAAAGAATCCGGTATTATTGATCCAAGAAAACTGCTTGATCTTCTGCCTCTGATAAGGATTAAAAAAGTAACAAAAAGAGATCAGCTGACTCCCTCAGATAAACTAGAAGTTTTAAATAGAGATAAAAGTATGTACTGAATGTAACTTTGTAATAACATGTGTGATATTAAAAATATAAGCAGTATTATGAACTACTGAATGTAACTTTGTAATAACATGTGTGATATTAAAAATATAAGCAGTATTATGAAGAGATGACTAACATAATCCTGAAAAATAAATTGTTAATAGTGATGAAAGGTAATGACGCAATGATTCAAAAATGGGGAAATGCAAGAGAAAAAGAAACAAGGAAAATGAAATATTCATATACATGCCTTCTACAACGGAAAAAATCCGATAATGTTCATTCGATGTATTATAGGCTAGAACGTAAGACCCCCCTCCCTTTTTCTCTCGAGATGCTGAAGGGACGTATTATAGGCTAGAGCGTAAGAAGGAATTCAAACCCTTCCCCCCCCCCCCCCCCCTCCCTCCTTTTCTCTTGAGATGCTGAAGGGACAAAAACCCATGTTCACGAAGTGTTTACAGGGAAAGAAACAAGGGAAGCCCGAAAACCCATGTTCATGCAGTGTTTGCAGAGAAAGAAACAAGGCAAGCCCTACCAAACCTACTCTCATATTACCCAGAAACGTAATACAAATAGAAGAGAAGGCCCGATGTCTGAAAGCCCGTAGAAATTGGAGTTCAACATTTTCAACTTTACAAACATCTCCATCCCTTCAAAAGAATGTTGGTTTAGTACTTTCTAGTAGGGCTGCAAATTAACCGAGCCATTCATGAACAACTCGGGCTCGGCTCGGGCTCATTCATTTAGTAAACGAGCCAAGCTCGAGCTCATTTTTAGGCTCGTTTAACAAACGAGCCGAGCTTGAGCAATTGCAAGTTCGGCTCGCCAAGCTCGTGAACAGGCTCATTTAGTTAAAGGGCCTATTTTTTAAAATTTGCTAATAATATTTAGCCCAAATACTTATTCTAAAGGCCCATGTAGTTGTTTGTGTTTATAAATGTGTCCTATATCTATTCCACTAGCCGATAAGCCCACAAGCCCAATAATCCATAGATTTATAACCACCGTTGGATTACACTTATGTTGCACATGTTATAATTTAAGAAAATAATAAAAACCCTAGCTCTACTTGCAAACGGCAGCCACATGAGACCTCTCAACATTCATCACAGATCCACAGCTACTCTAGGCAACTGATGCGACGATCTTAATCAAACAACAACAAAGGTTATTACTCTCTCCCTCTTTCACAATCATCTTTGCTCTCTTTCCCAACCATGTTCTCTCTCTTGATAGCCATTTTTTTCCTTTATTTTGACAACCATCTTCTCTCTCTTTCAGAACCATGTTCTCTCTTGATAGCCATTTTTCCCCTTATTTTGATGGAGTTATGAGGGAATGAAGAGTACAAACTAATTTTATGAAGAACATAGACTGATTGTGGAGATGATGAGGATTGGAAGGCTGATTTCATAGTATGTGAGCTTGAGCCGAGCCAAGCCCGAGCAAGTCAAAGCTCGGCTCGGTTCATTTGCAGCCCTACTTTCTAGTACACCAATATGGCCACAACGGTGCCACATGCCACACCTTACCCACCCTCCAGCTTTTATTTAAAATCTTCCTTCTCAACAATTCAGCAGTTGCATCAGTGATTCAGGCATTACACAATGAACTTATAACAAGGAAAGCAGGGTAAACCACAACTACCCTGACACCAGGTACCACATAGAGATCCAGAGTCTCCAATACTCCTTGAACATGCAAAACCAATTAGTAAGCACCTTAAGTCTAGATTATTGATGGACAGATTCTTTACTACAGCAGCATCCAGCCAAAATAGAAGCCCTATCTTTCAAGGAACGTCAATCCATCATCACGTCATTCTGCCTAAGCCCTCAACACCTTAAACAAGAGCTCAGCTCAAACTTCGTCCACAAAGCCATCCTCCCCAACACCCCCCCCCACCCCCCCCCCCCCCCCAAAACCGAAACAAACCACCCATCACCCCAAAAAAATAGATAACACTCCACTCGGCGTAGCATACTCTGTGGAAATGCCTCCTTATTTTTAAATCCAAAAAGTTCTGAAGATCTCCTTATTTTTAAATCCAAAAAGTTCTGAAGATCTAGTTTTAAGGAGCAGCACCCCACACCAAGGTTCGTGCCAGAACAGGACACAATATGTTTAGTTGTGAATTAAAATTTTTATAAGATTACAATTGTGAAGGCCAATCACAGTGAGTCCTGCATATAAATGGCCTTACATAAGAAAACTATCACAAATGATGAGAAATTATGTGGCATACTGACAAGGTATTGGATCAATGTTCCCACCTTCGATTAATAGCAAACCCCAGAGAAAAAACATGAAGAGCACCTGAAGAGCTTGTGGCTACAAGAATATCTGGAAGTTGCAAGGATGGCCCAAATGACAAGGAAAATATAGCTGATGGGTATGTTCCCCTCCGAAAGCTATACGACTGCTAAAGACAGAATAGTTAGGTTCCATAGATGAAGTACAGGACTAAAAAGAAATATGAGGTAGTAACGGCATGCATCATTAATAACGTCAGGCAACAGAATTGCGGTAAAAAAAGGAGTGACTAGACACAAATTTGATAATTAATTTAACTTATAAAACTTGCTCAGCTACTAAAAGGTTACTGTGTCGTGAACATCTATCACAAACAGCATTTCAATGAATCGAATCTTTTTCTTTCTTTTCTTTTCTTAAATCTAAAATGATGGGATAATCAAATGAAGACTACTAGTCCTTCACTTTCATGCAGCGCAGGTGTGACAGTATGCAGCATGCATATACTAATTCAAGTATTCTGAAAAAAAAAAAAAAATACACATTGAGAATCCCATCAAGTAGATGTTGCGAGGCTTCACCTTTGTTGCTTCTGAGACTAGATGAACTCTGACAATGGTTCCCTGTTCAGATGCTGTTGCTATGTACATCCCATTTGAAGAAAGAACTATTGCAGCCAGTGGTGAGCAATGAGCATCTATCTGCAATTTTCAATTTCAGTAACTGAAATGAAGTACAGAATGAAAAGGAGGACTTGCTGAATCATGTTGAGCACCAATCAAGGGAGAAATGCAAATATAAAAAAATAATGCTCTATAGTAATTAAAGTACAATTCTCTAAGTCCATGTACAAACTGAAAAATATAACTGGGCAATAAAAATATATCCGATCACAGGATTAATGGCATAACTTCCCCGGCTATTTATAAATAATTTTCAAATCACTAAAATTTTAGCTGATAACTACCTGAAATATCAAGACACCCCAAACTGTCAAATTACTGCTAAGAAATTCACAGTCAAGGAGTTGGAGCTTTTCAAAAATCCCAATTTACCCTTTTGGATTAATTGCATAAAATATTATGAACTATAAGAAAATTTCATATTACCCCTTTGTTCCGGGGGTAACGTGCAAATGGTTACCTAATAACAATTAGGCCTTACAACAACAATTGGCCTTATTATACGAACTTTTAATAGTTCAGGGCTTTTTATTTTTTTTTTTCCAGAGTTCACATGCAACTTTTCACAGTTCAGGTGGAATTGTGCAATTGCCCCCAATCTATATAACAATAGAAATAAAAACAAAATATTACAAATAAGCTACTGGAATGACAAATTGACAATCCCCAGCACCCCATACTAAAAATAAAAAATCTCAATTTTTCACTTTCAAGATCCTTGTTTTGGATTTTATTTGCTATGGATTACTTTTTTCCATACATCTGACCCTCTCTAGATCCCGCAATGGTGGGAGACTCGTGCACTGGGTTTGGCCTTCCCACTTGCTACACACCCCCCCACCCTCACCCCCCTCATTTTTTCTCCAAGATCTTGCTCTCAGCCTAGGTGTATAAGATGCCAAAAGCTTTCAGATTCTTTTGTGTCCTCTCTTTGAGGTAAGACTGGTTGAAGCCTTCATGTGAGCTTCCTTTAGGAAATAACTTCCCTTAAAGCTCCTCCCCAAGTGTCTTCTAGCAAGGATTATCGAGCAGGAAAAATTACTTGGTGAACATCTGCAGAGCATTATTTGATTGAGGTTTTATCTATGGGGAAGAAGTCTTCACCGAGCATTACTCAAGCGAAGTTTATGCAAAGGGAAATATATCCATTTTTTTTTTTTCTAACTCCTTACTGAGCATTATTTGGGCAAGACTTATCTGTGAGGAAGACCTACTCGCTGACCATTTTCTTCAAGTGAGGTTTATTGTGGGGAAGAACTCTTTCGTTCCTTGCTAAATTCCCTTGAAAACGTGTGGCATTGACACATAGGATGCGTACAACACCAGCCACTTGAGCTATTATGCCGATCCTTCATGTAATACATTTCTTCCATGTGTGGCTAGAGAAGCCAAGTACCCACTTACTTCATGAAAAGTAAAAAAAAATATATGCATGGATGACTTTCAGCACAGGAGTTTTCAATTCATATCATGTACTAAGCATTTCATAAAAAAAGAGACAGTAAATCAACGTGTCACAACCTCACAGTGCGAATTTAGTTCCATAACATTGTAGACTAACACAGATCCTTTGGTTGTGCTTGCTGGAAGAGCCAAAAAGCAACCATCCAAACTTGGGGAAAATGCACAAAGCCCTGAGAAGTAAATAAAGATTAGCATACACTCATGCAAGACTCATTAAGTATGGCATCTGAATTGCATGATTTCCTAGACAATTCATAAATCTATCATGGTGATACTTTAAAAACTATTGTTACAAGATGCTAATCATAATTTAAAACACATTTATCTATCATTATGATAAGGAACAGAGAAACTCTACAATTAGTCAACAAAATAAGAGAAATTAAAAGCAAAAATATTATTCTGCATTGCCACAATTGAACAAATTCTGAGTGTTGATACAGGTGCATATTTCAAAGAAAATAAGTTACATCCTCACCTTTTACATTCGGTATCGTATCAATTGTATCCAACATAGAAAGAATGTTGATGTCATATATAAATGTCTTCTCTTGCAAAACAACAATGAGTCTGCATGCAGCAAAATATTACTTTAACACAAATATAATAATAATAATTATAGTTTTATGGATGAGAGAATTGTACATACAGTATGTTCAAGCCAGATTCCTACTGATTACCAGAATTGTCTACAGTCTAAAGATCGTAAATATAATAACCAAACTGAACCGTAATTTTATTTCTTCTTTTTTTTTTTTTTTTTTTTTTTTTTCATTAGTTTAAATGTAGTAATAAGAAAAAGAAACAAATGACATATTTTTATTAGAAGGAATCTCCCTTTTTTCACTTAATCTAATTTAGTATGAAAAATAATAGGGTTTTTTTTTTTTTTTTCATTGACAAGAAACACACTCATTTTGTCCCTTTGGGGACTCGAACCCTCACCATCCACTTTGGGAGGTAGAGGAAATACCACTAGGCCAAAAGGCCCTTGGTATAATAGGGTATTTTTTAAATAAGAATAGCATCATACATTACATTGTTATATAACATATGGTGTATTGTAATGTGCATGGCATGCCACGTACTCCTAAGATTTGGAAACGTTTCAAGCCAAATCCTTGTATCTTGAGACTTAGGTTCTAAGGAGGTTCGACACTTAAGCACACGCCCGCACCAGATCCTAGAAACAACTCAGAGAGATACTAGGAGAATCTCCTACCCACACTATAGCATCCCAGTTCGGACAACAATGTTATACCATTGCTCATTGTTAAGGCAGGGCTTGATGTATAATTCCTGTGTTTGGCTTCATTCAGGAAGTAGGACACTGCTATGTCTTTTCATTTCCAAGTAGCATAACATACACCATAATCCTAGAATCAATAAAAAGCATATGATATATATTTTACCTTTTTTTATTTAAACGGACAGCAACGATAGAAGTTAAGAAAGTTAGATCATGTAGACAAGTCCCGGTTGTGGTATTGAACAAACAGAGACGTCGAGGGGATAAAGATGGCTGTTGCATGCACATAAAACCACATTATATAATTGATCAGAAACAAAGAAAAACAGAAGGAAATAATATGTTTACTGAAAGTACGATGCCATCTCAAAGGACAGATTGTAGACAGCACAAGAACCTGTTCACCCGCTCCCACAATGGCAAGAAGATTTGAGCTAAAAAGCATTTCAACTATATTGAATGCTCCAACAGCTAGCAAAAAAAAAAAAAAAAAAAAGATATAATTATGATCATTTTTTATAGAGAAATTAATTTACCACTAGTATATCTCAAATGAATGATAAACACACAACATTCAACTTCAATGTGGAAAAGCTTCGCAAGTGGAATGAAGTAGCGGAACATCTTATGGCATGACAAATGCCAACAGACTTTTTTTTTTTCCTTCTCTTTACAAGTGATAAATATCACTACTTCTGAGAAATTTTCATTTGTCCCTTTTTTTTTTTTTTTTTGAATTCTTTTCGGGCCTGCGGAGAAATCAATCCAAAATGATAATAAAGTGGTACCAAGCAGTAAATTCTTGACTGCAAACACGTCTTTTTCTTTATAACATGAACTCGATAAAGCTCTATACTTTTGAAAAGAGAAATTAAATTAGAATTCAAGTTGGCCTGTTGACCAGAAAAGCAAAACACTGACTTAAGCGCCTGCGCGCGCGCGCACACACACACACACACAGATTGTCCACGCAGTTGAAATCGATTTCAAGTATTTAAAATTGTATCTTGTTCCATGACTTCTGCCTTTTCTGTTATGCCTTTTTCAGCATGCTCTACAGAAGCTGCTACATATTTTTCTAGTACATACATTAGCCTTTTTTTAATTCCAAAAAAGGCAAAAACCTACTAAAAGTTTTGGGTAAATTACACACGGGTGGAACATTTAAGGTTTATTACTTTGACCTCCCCTGAGATTTGGAGCCTATTGTCACGTTCTGATTCCTAACGACGCCATGAGGATAAAAGACACGCATGCTAGTTGGCTAAGAACATTCATTGACTAGGAATGGTTCCAGGGAAGGGGCGTGCAGGACCATAAGATGGTACATCTTCAGAGTTCAGGCAGGTCGACTCGGTTCAGTTCGAGGTGCTTGTCGCTAGTCATGGACTTAACTATGAAGAAGGGAGTTGGCCATCCCTGCACAAACTAGTCGGGAGCTGGAGCCTTTCCCCTGATGAGACCAAGGCAGGTCGAAACCAGTCAGCATGTATCCTTAGGAGGGTAGGTCGTGGTGGCTGACCAGGGCGCTTGCGCGAGCTGAAGCAACGCCTTGGTGCCGCACGGGCCGTGCCGCTACACCAAATTTCTAGGCCCGTGACAAATGGTATCAGAGCAGGACTTGGGGTAAAGCACAGAGGTGTGCCCCCTTGTCGATCCGGGGGTCTTGAGAATGAAGTGGGTGCACTAAAGCGTCAGTGGGCAATCAATGCTGTTGGAGGAGAGCCTCCATCTCCCCAAGAAGACGCGTCCTTTGAAGCAGGAGGACCGCGCGCATCGGATGGCCGGGGGGCCGCGCGCACCAAAGTTCTTGCAAGTTCAAGAGGCGTGCAAACCGTTGTGAAGGGCGGGTATCAAGTCAGCCGGAGGGCCCTTGTTTGCTCAGGGTATCGCGGAGGCGGCATAACGTGGGGTTGCGTCCCAAATAAGTGGGCGTCCCTTTAGCCCGAAACCCTATCATTAGGCGAGTGCAGCCGGGGGTTGTACAAGGAAACGATGGGGCAAGCGAGCATACCACTTGGAGGAGAGAGACTTTGGAATGTTGGACGCAGTGGAGTCAGCGCCGCACTGCGACGAGGGCGTCGCAGGATTTGGGTGGGGGAGAATGTCACGTTCCGATTCCTAACGACGCCATAAGCATAAAAGACGCGTATGCTGGTTGGCTAAGAACATTCTTCATTGACTGGGAATGGTTCCAGGGAAGGGGCGTGCAGGACCTCAAGATGGTACCTCTTCAGAGTTCAGGCAGGTCGACTTGGTTCAGTTTGAGGTGTTTGTCGCTAGTCGTGAACTTGACTATGAAGAAGGGAGTTGGCCATCCCTGCACAAACTGGTCGGGAATTGGAGCAGTTCCCCTGACGAGGCTAAGGCAGGCCGAAACCAGTCAGCATGTATCCTTGGGAGGGCAGGTCGTGGTGGCTGACCAGGGCGCTTGCGTGAGCTGAAGCAAGGCTGGGATGCCGCACGGGCCGTGTCGCTGCGCCAAATCTCTAGATCCGTGACACTATGCTCAACCTGCCTTTTTTGTCCGTTCAGAACCGTGAATTTTTTTAATAAAGTGACTATGTTGCCCTTGTATTATATGAAAAGACAATAATAGGCTTAAGTTTTGTAATGAAATTACTAGATTACCCAACACTCGCTCTCTCTATCCTTTTTTTTTTGAAACCCACTTGCTCCACCATGGCCAACCTCCACCCACCACCACCATCGCCCTCCTCCTCCACAAACAAAAGCCTCCAGTACACCATCGCCCACCTCCTCCTCGAGAAAAAACCTCTTTTACAATTTTTATCTATCTGAAATTCATCCGTCTTTGTAAACATGCATGTGTATACATAGCATATCTAACACCAACACAAACACGCACATATATCAACTGTTTGAAATCCTAATCCTAGTATTTCCTACCTCTAGTTAACCCTTTAATCCATCATAAATCCGCATCTAACCATGTGGTTTTCATTCCAATTTTCATACTCAATCAAAATCCTCAAATAAATTCTTGAAAACTTCTCATGAATTGACCATGTGGTGTTGAGGAAGAATGGGTTTTGCCGAATCTGCCGATGGGTTTCTTTGCAAAGCATAGGTTTTTTTTTTCTTTGAAAAGAAACTTTTGTAAGAAAATCCGTAGTTCATTGATGCATTTTATCCATTTATATAATATATACATGTACGCACATATGCATATATATATGTACACACATATGCATCTATAAATAGACCCGAATGCTTTAATGACCACAACTTGACATCATATATTAATTCATCTAGTTTGCTTCTGTGTACCACACCAAGCATGGCCCAAATTTCTGAATAAAGAATCTGCTGATTATGGATTGTAGCATCTGAATAAGCTATTGAGGAAAGAGGAGAGAAGGCAAAGCTAGGGTTGCCATGGTGGTGGAAGGTGGCGGTGGTAGTGGGAGGTGGTTGAGAGAAAGAGGTTGTGGAATTGGCTGAGCGGTGGATGACGGTGAATCTCTATGTTGGAACTATAGAGAGAGAAACAGAGAGTCCTTTGCTGCTTGCATTATGACACCAAAGGCATCATTATACATGCAAGGACCTAAAAGTCTTTTTAGTTTAACATATATATATATATATATATATATTTTTTTTTTTGATAAGTAAGTTTAACATATATTTACAATATAATATATTATTATCATTGAAGGGTACTGTTGACTACTTGACTTTTCACTCTCAATGTTAACATCCGTCAGCTGATTAACGGATTTCGGAGAGGATTGTGTAATAAAGGCCACAGGCTCAAGGGAGGTGAATGTAATTTACCCAAAAAAAAATTACAACCCTAGATGTTTTACCCAAAAGGCTAGGACCATGGACCATATATGAATGATCCCTGTTAGTCTTAGTTAATACATAAACCACGTGCCTCGTCACTGCTACTAATTGAAATGCCATATAAGAAAATCCTATGCCATGTTGACAATCATACTGATAAGGTATACAGAACTCAATGACCAATGCTTTAATAGCCCCTAAAATAAATTTTGCAAATGGATTTTTCCTAAGAACAAGAGATTATAAGTCCCAAAAAGAAGTCAATTACCACCCCTGATTTCAAATGAATTAAATAATGTGGACAAGATGAAGATCTCAACTACACAGAAGGACATTTGACAAAATTGATGCATAATTCCCATCATAAAATATCTAAGGCCATCTATAATTCTATATTCCTTGTTTGTCTTTACTCTTTATGCCCACATTTCATTGGACTTCACATTTGTGGTCTGGAGATTTCTTAGCTCTTAGAGTTGCATGAAACCACCTATCTCTTTGATTAGAATTATGTTGCTCATTGAAAGTATAAATATATTTATATATATCTTTCAAACATCAACCAGCTCAATAATGCAGTTTAGAACTTAAATTTCCGCACCAACAAACCCCACCCCCCCCCCCCCCCCCCTGCCAAAAAAAAAAAAAAAACAAAAAAACAAACAAAAAAGTTTCCATCCATTGCAAGACAGGCAATCCAAAACTCAGAAGTTGAGTAGGTAGACTATTTATCGAAAAAAGAAAGAAAAAAAAAAAAGTAATTCAGGCTACTTGTGTTAAACATCATAGAGGAAGCTATCCATTAGAACAAACACCTTCAAACAAGTTATTCTCTACTTTTTCCTCGCTAAGTATGAGGCAGACAGCCATGTCCCAACTAGGACTTCAATCCTGAACATCCCAGATCAGCAAGAATACCACTAAAGCAAGAAAGATGGTGAAACCGTGAAACAAAATATTCCTGCAGCCCTGACCAAGGACGGAGCCACATGGGGCCGACTGAGGTGGCAATTGTTCTAACTCAACTTTTTATTTATTTATTACTATTATTTTTTCATAAGTTCAATTTAAAAAAAAAAAAAAAACAAGTTGTGTTCATGTTTCGCAATAATTACAAAGTTGTCCCCATAAACTTTTTTTGTGCCCAATAAAATTCTCTCACCTCTTTATTGTAATTAGCCCCTTCTCTTTTCCCTCATCTCTCACAAACTCCCCCTCCAACTCTGTCCCCCTTGCTCCCACTAGCATAAATTCTTGATCTCCATCACCTACCTTGACTAGGGCTACAACTCGGGCGGGCTGGTAGTCCAACTCAAGCCCAACCTGACATATGAAATTCTCAACTCTAACCCGACCTCCAACCCTACCTACTCAACCCAAGCCCAGCCCATCCTTGATTTTTAAACTTGGGTTTGCAACTTGGATTGAGATTCTGGGTTCAAAAGTCGGGTTAATTCAGGTTATACGTATAGTCAATCTCCACACCGAAAATTTAATATGATCTTGAGTTAGTTTCATATTAGAATGCTCCTAAGCACAAATTTTTAAAAAAACTTAATGCAAATTTTTTAAAAATTACAAACAGATCATTAGGAAATTAATTCTTTGAAGTGTTAACATACAATAAATTAAGAATGAAACAAACGAAGTTGAAAAGAAAAAGGTGATCATAATTTGATTATTATATATAATGGTTGTATATGTTTGGTCGAAGCAATGCCCATTAGGAGAATGTCTTTCTACGTTCCCCTCGGTCGTGAAAGCGCTTTGTCCCCCAAGTTTAGGTCAGGGCTCAGGCCCCATTACTATGGTATGGTCAACCACCACTCTAAATATAAATGAGTACTTCTAACCGACCACCTTTTCAAAAAGAAGGGCATGCCGGGCGTACTAGCCAGCTCAATATGATTTAGGCTCAGTGCACTTGAACCCAAACCCAACCCTAATTACGTTCAAGTTGACACTTTTTAACTCGAATCCAACCCTAATTATAAAATGGTTGCCCAAGCCTGTGAAAAATCGGGTTGGGCTCGGGTTGGCCCACCCAAGTTTTTTTTTTTTTTTTTTTTTTATACATGTAAAAGTTGATCCATTAACAAAAGAAACTAAAGTTAGTTGTCATGGTCAAAGCCTGTCACTTCTTATGTGACTTGTATAAATGATCAACCAGAATGCCACAAAAGTTTCCGTCTTTCTTATGAGAAACAAATAGCAACATGTTCAAAATGATGTTTTAATTTGTAGTTGCAATAATTCCAAGAGGGATGCTTGTCTTGCATTTTTAGAGAGATCAAGGGTCACTAGAATCGTAAGTAGCTATCTTGCAAATTGACTGTAAAGAACCAACCCAAACCAATGACTAATGCCAAAAAGGTGAAATCTGCTTTCACTACCATAGTCATGTCCACGTAAAATGTATTGTAAATTTGTCTCATGATCATCATGCACCAAAACTAGGAGACCAGTTCCCGTTATTTTCTTTCAAAAGTCATCTTTTATGCAGTATAAACTTCTTCACGAAAAAAGATCTTTGTATATCTCACACAATATACTGTTGCTCCTCTTGGATGGAGAGAAGCTTGGAGCTATCCAATTAACTGAAATTGACCTCATGTACAGCATACTGTTGTTATTACAAATTCTTTTCTCAATGATACGTGCAAGGTATTAATAAGTTGATCAATTTATGATTAAAAAATTCTCACGTCACCTATAACCCTGGCTAAAGTAATTAAGCCATTTCTGGTAAACATAAATTAATTTTTTTTTAAGTTTCCACAAAAAGAAAAGGAAAACTCATGAATGTTAAATTTCTCATTGAAGAAAGAGGTTTCAAGAAACATGTATAAACCTGGAAGCATCACCCATTTCCTTATCAAAAAGCATGTTATAATTTATGTTACAACATGGACTCTTCAAAAGTAGGTGAAGAACCATGTCAAATACACAACACTAGGATATGCACCTAAAAAGCATATCGAATAATTCTATTTTCTTATATTATAGCTTCAAAATGAGAGAAATGTCTATATTGAACACTATGTTACATAAAGAGTTTTTTTACTCAAGAAAAAAAAAATACATACATACATACATATATATATATATATATATATATGAATGTTTAGCAATGTCCATGTAACTTAGTTTTAATAAGGGTTACTATGAGGCGGCCAAAATCCAAAGTAACAAGTTATATGTGCAAAATTCCAAATTCAGGGAACTAAAATCAAGAAATCGCATACTGATGAATATGAGACAAGCACCTCTCCTAGGTATGCAATACTCGTGTCACTGCTTCTTAATTAAAGACAAACTAGCAAAACAGTAACTTGACATAATTTAAAATTAAATAACCCCTCAGTCACTCCCTCCCACCCACCATCCTCCAACTACCATCCATCATCCATTCTCACAATCGAGCAAAATAATCGCCTCAGTGAATTGCGAGAGATCATTAAGGCACGTCCCACAAATATCTCAGTGAGATGCGAGAGATCATTGAGGCATTTTCCCACAAATATCTCAGAAGTTGTTTGTGACTTCTCAGTTTCATGTCTCGAAGAGGCTTCTGAGAACACACTTTCAAGTGTTTTCTATGAGAAATTGGAAGTCTTTCAACATCCGAAACCATTAAGTCAAATTAAAATTTAGAACACATCCAACCCTACCCACTAGATCCTAAATTCAAGCTATTATCAATTATTCAAAATGTTCAGTAGCTAATTTCAAAACACAAAATTATTTAGTGTCAAACCAACGGCAATAAAAAAAGAAAATCAAAAACAACGGAACAATAATGATAATAATTGCGTGTGTATACATGCATAAGTTGCATAATATACTTGCCTCGTTCATACAAGAGCCTCCCTGTATTCGAATTGAATAATTTGAACCCATCCCTCGTTCCAATTGCGAAACAACTACGAAATTCAACAACAACAAAAATACAAAATTATTAGTTCACACAATCAAATAAGCTAATAAAACCCTAATTCTGAAACGAAACTGACATAATTTTCCCAACACGCACATACACACACTTGGATATATAGAGAGATATATACACCTATATTGCACGTACCTGGTGTCCTGATTGAAGGATGCGCATAGAATTGGATGTGAAGAGGAGTGGTTCGCCATTTTGAAGTTTCCAGCTACCTTTTTCTGTCGAAATTTGCTTCATCGGTTTCAGAACGTACAAGTTTCAGAACACACACAATCGCTGAACTTTGACGTTGAGAACACACTACTCTACCTACAATACAAAATACACAATGACTCGTGTAGAGTCCCGTGGGCCTCAGATGTCTGGGCCGACTGGACTATGGGCTTTAAACCTTCTTTATAGCAAAAGGTCGACGTTCAGATAAGAGAGCCCGGCCCCCGGGTAGACACAGTGTGTCTGAAAATATAGGGTTTTACCGTTTTATTAAGTCAAGCCCAAAACGTTTGTTAAGAACAAATGTGACAATAAGAACAAATGTGACAACTGAGATTTTTTGTAACAAAAAATGTCAATGTCATTTTTTTTTTTTTTTAAATAAATAGAAGATTGATAGTTTGAATCTCCAATGAAACAAAGAGAAGTATGTGTGACAAAAAAAAAAAACTCGTATTGAATTAAAAATCAGACTGTTAACTCTTGTATCTCTAATTATATTAGAACAACTATAAAGACAATTTTTACTCCAAATATGCTTAGAAGACATTACCTAACATTGTTTCATATAAATTGGGGCGAACTTAATCTTTGCATCATTTTTAATGAAAAGTATGCATATTATTACAAAATATATAAAGGTGAGATCTAATTTTATCCAGTCTGTGCTGCCAATATAATGTTTGTGGAACCAATTTATATAGTTAATTTGTCAATGAATGTTTTTGTAATTTTAAAAATAGTTTTCAAGAATTTAGAGAACAAAAAACTGTTTTCAGATAACTACAAAAGATAGTTCTATGAAAATAAACATTTTTAGAATTGAATTTTCAAAAAAATAAACAAAGCAGAATTTTTGCATAATTTTTTAATTTTTAATTCCCTGAAAACAGTTTTCTTTTTTAAGAATTATAAAACAAATAGACCATGTAGGTTCATAATTACTGTGTAAGCTTAGACGTGTCGTCTAATAATTTCAGAAAAATTTTAAGCCCACAAGAATAAGGCTACTAGGTGGTTATTTCGATATTAGTAGTTCTTTCTTTTCAGGCTGAGGGTATAGTGGCCCTCAGATGTCTCGGGCTACTGGACTATGGGCTCAAACCTTCTTTAAAGGCTGAGGTGGGCTTCCTTATAACATGGGTTTGATGTTGAGTAGGCCCGAGCTTGTATTTATGATTTTTACATTTTGGATTAGCTTGGGTTGATTACAGGTGAAAAAATACAAAATATATGATCAAACATGGATTTGAGATTGGAAAAAATATAAATTTCAAAAAAAAAAAAATTCAATAAAGGTTAAGCACTCTGTCCCATTTAACATTTTAAAAATAATAATAATAATAATAATAATAAATAAACACGAGATTCAGTCTTCATGCAAAAAAAAATGATCAGTCTTCATGCATAAATAATAATAAAAAATAGAATTTATGCTACCATAGGCATGAAATTACAGGATATATTATCATATTAGTATGATGGACTCATGCAAACTAATTAATAAAATACTGGTTTTCAATCCAAATATGCGCCTTCTAAACATTTGAATCCAAATGCTTGACATGCTTAATTTCAAAATTCAAATCTCTAGTTATATATATATATATATATATATATATATATATATATATATCTTAATGAATTATTGCTGGACAATTTTTTCTATTTTTAAAACATGTTAGAGCAGTTCAACATAACAGTTAATTGAAAACACCCAACATACTAATAAGTACTAATTTCTGTTTCATTCTCTGTCAACAAGTTTTTTACCACAACATGCATAATTACAACCCAAAGAACGGTCAAATATTAGTCCAACACACTTACATAGGTACATCCCAAAAAATATCTCAACTACAAAATATGTGCGACCACACATAATTACATTCCATCCCACATCATCATAAGTAATCCACAAAAAACAATGTTGTATCCAACTAATGACATCCCAAAATATTATGCAAACTAACCCACATATCAAAAACTAATGAGCTTCAAATGGATCCCACATCACCAAAAACACACTGGGCCATCCTTCTTCAACACCTTATCTAGCGACCTGAAAGGCTGAAATATTGGAAGAGAAACAAATATGTTAAAACTAAATGACAATCATGACAAATATAGCAACATTTGACAATTTGAATTACCTGACTAAACATAAAAGAAATTAAGTCATACGTCTAAGAAAATTAATTATGGAAGATGATAACGTCAAAAATGACAACCATGAAATGTTAGAAAAGTAAAAACTGAGTTATAATATTGAAAAAATAGGACACTTAATTGGGGAAAAAAAAAAAAATTACAAATTCATGCATTCAAGACACTAATAACTACTATCTGTGCAATAGTTTAGCAATTTCTAATGTCTAGGCCAACCCATTAAAACAATATATATATATATATATATAAAGCAAGATGAGAAATTATTGCAAAGACACTAACTAGTTTCGAAAAATAAACAACTGAAATCCGTAGCATATACCATAACAACCAACGAGTTTAATAAAATGTTTTAAATCAATCAATTTTACAAATAAACACTTTAAAAGATGACGTGTGAATAAAATTTATTGTCACACTGTCCAGTAGAACAACGGAAAACGATGACTATTTTTAAAAGGAAAGTGGAGATTATGCTTTGTTCATACTGTTGGGTTTATTTTCCATCTATATGGAGGAAAGTCTAAGTGGGTTTTATTAAAAATCCAAAGCCCAGCTTTTAGGGAAAAGAAAACCCTAAGGAAGTTAGTATAAAAAGAGAGAGAGGTTAGCCGCAAGTAGAAAGAACAAAGAAAAGAAAAACGCAGGTTTTTCCATTCTGCCCAGGTTTGATCAAACGTCCAATGCCGCTTCGTTCGTGGTCCGATCGAGCTGAAATTTGGAGAAGAGGTTCATGACTCAATGAGTTAAAATCTGAACGGTGAAGATCAGATTTTGAGCTCGGGAACAGTGATTCGTGCCCATGAACAGTAACCGGGTTTTTTGGTATTTTTCTCTCCAATTCTCTTTGTTTTTTGCCAAGATTGTTGCTATCTTGATGAGATATTTTGTAGCCTCTAATTGCAATTAGAGAAGACTTTGTGTACCCATTATTTGGTTGATAGTGGAGATTTTAACTGGACTAGGTCCCGTGATTTTTCTTCCTCACACTGCGGAAATTTTCCACGTAAAAATTGCTTGTGTTCTTGTGGCTTGGTGTGATTGATTTGTTCTCTATTATTTTCAGCACATATAAAAGTAGAGATTTACTATATTTGCTTGCATATAGGGAGAAGAATTATTCCGTTGTGTTTGTTTATCGTTATCTCTCCCAACAAAGTGGTATCAGAGCTCCAAGTTGACAGATTGTCAGGTTGGCAGTTTGAGTTATGGAAGCAAATACGAGTAGAATGATTAATCTAAATGGTTCAAATTATCACATATGGAAAGGAAAAATGGAGGATCTTCTTTATGTGAAAGATTATTACCAACCGGTGTTTAGTGCTGAAAAACCAGAAAACAAATCTGATGTGGAATGGACTTTGTTACATCGACAGGTGTGTAGGTATATCAGGCAGTGGGTAGATGATAATGTTTTGAACCATATTAGTGGAGAGACGCATGCACGTTCTCTATGGAGTAGCTTGAACAGCTATATGCTAGACAGACTGGAAATAATAAATTGTTTTTGATTAAGCAGATGATGGCTTTAAGATACCAGGACGAGACTCCTTTATCTGATCACCTGAATACATTCCAATGAATTATTAATCAGCTGGCTAGAATGGGTATTAAGTTTGATGATGAGATACAAGGGTTATGGTTGCTTGGTTTATTACCGGACTCGTGGGAGACACTCAGAACTTCATTGTCTAACTCCGCTCAAGAAGGTGTAATTATAATGGATATAGCCAAAAGTTGTTTGCTAAATGAAGAGATGAGAAGAAAAACACAGGGATCCTCTTCACAGTCAGAGATCTTGGTTACAGAAAAGAGGGGGAGAAGTAAGAGCAGAGGTCCGAAGAACAGAGATAACAACAGAAACAAGTCCAACAAGTTTGCAAATGTTGAGAGTTATCATTGCGGGAAAAAGGGACATATCAAGAAATATTGCAGGTAATTAAAAAAAGAAAATAAGAATGAGAAAAGGAAGGGAACGAAGAATGGAGATGACAAAGATGGTGATGACAGAGTTGCTACCACCACTCCTGCAGACTTCCTCATTGTTTATGATGATGAGATGATAAATGTTGCATATCATGAGACTAGTTGGGTGATTGACAGTGGTGCCTCCATTCATGCTACATCTCGGAAGGATTTCTTTACATCTTATAAATCTGGTGATTTTGGAACAGTAAAGATGGGCAACGATGGATTGGTTAAAGTCATTGGAATTGGCGATGTGTATCTGAAGATGAATAATGGCACGAGGTTAGTTCTCAGAGATGTGAAGCATATTCCTGACATTCGCTTGAATTTAATTTCTACAAGTAAACTTGATGATGAAGGGTTTGCAGCACTTTCAGTGATGGTCAGTGTAAGCTCACTAGGGGTGTTATGGTTGTGGCTCGAGGCATAAAGCACTCTGCATTGTACGTTCTGCAAGCAAAGATCTCCAACGACATTGTTAATGTGATGGAGGATAATGATACAACAGAGTTGTGGCACAAGAGACTGGCTCATATGAGTGAGAAATGATTAGCTCTACTAGGGAAGAAAAGTCTACTATGTGGACTGAAAAGTACACTTCTGAAAATGTGTACTTATTGTTTGTCAGGGAAGTAGAGCAGAGTCTCCTTCAAGAATTCCTCTCATTCGAGAAAGTCAGAGATACTGGATTTAGTACATTCAGATGTGTGTGGCCCTTTGGAGACGAGAACACTTGGTGGGTCTAGATACTTTGTGACCTTCATAGATGACTATTCAAGGAAGTTGTGGGTATATACCTTGAATTCAAAAGACCAAGTGTTGGCAGTGTTCAAGCAATTCCAAGCCCTAGTTGAGAGACAGACTGGGAAGAAACTGAGATGCATTCGTACTGATAATAGCGAAGAGTATTCTGGTCCTTTTGATGAGTATTGTAGACAACAGGGTATCCGGCATCAAA